GTTAGTGTATTTGATCTGGTTGTTGTGGAGGACTGGGATGTGGTGCTGGTGGTGCTGTGAGTATACGTGCTGCTTGTTGTTGAGACAGTGCGAGAGCGCGTTGTTGTGGTGGTCAGGGTAGTGCTCGATGTGGTGCTTTTGGTGGAGGTGCTGCTGGTTGTTGTTAGCGTATTGGATCTAGTGGTTGTCAAGGACAGGGACGCGCTGGTTGTGGTGGTGTAGGTAGAGGTGCTGCTGGTTGTGATGACTGTGGAAGACGTTGTGGTTGTCGTGGACAGGGTTGCACTAGAGGTGGTGCTTTGGGTATAGGTCACGCTACTTTTGGTGATGCTTGTTGTAGTCAATGTGGAAGTGGTCTCAGTTTTGGTGGTGCTGCTTCTGCTCGTGGAGGTAGTCATAGTTGCTGAACTGGTCGAAGTAGTCCTAGATGTGAGTGTGGTCGTTGCTGTTTTGCTTGACGAGGTCGTCGTGGAACTGATGGTGATGCTTGTGGACGTCCAGGTTGTAGAGGTTGTGGTCACACGATATCTCCATAAATCCTGTGCGAGCTTTCCATCAGAATAACCACCATGTATCAAGAAGGACGTGCTCTTGACATCCCAAGCAGCCGCATGATTGAAACGCCTTGAAGGGCCTTGCTGGTCTGCAATGAGCTCCCAGGCAGTTTTGTCTACATCAAATGTCCAAAGATCTCGCCGAGCCAGGCCATCAAATCCACCATGAATCCAAATTGCACGATTTGTAGGGTCCCACGCGGCTACGTGATAGGCTCGTCCCGATGGACCAGCGTTGGAGATCACGGTCCAGCTGGAGGACGCGATGTCAAATCTTAACAAATCTGGTCTCAGCGCGGACAAGCCGTTCAAGCCTCAGTTTGTCTTTGGTGCGTATGGAGAACCAACTACTCAGAACAGCAGCAGCTTTGTTATGCAACAAAAAAAGTATCATCAAACAGTGTAACAGTAATTGTAAAAGCATGCTTGAATAATATGTATGTTCGAGCCCTTTGAGCACTTGATGTGAGAATTAGGCATCGAAGCCAATCACAAGGTTTCCTTACGTGAGCAACTTCCCGCGCAGTTCATGGCCGCTTTGCTTCAGCAGCACAAACACCAGCAATCTACAGTCGCCATCCAAGACCCACAAGCCTTCGAAAGCCCTACAAGAAGTTCAATAGTCATTCTAGCCAAGTCGTTATGTGGGCAAAACGCGCCGTTCCCAACTACTCAAATACTCTGCCTCCAACACCTGTCGCATGCTTCTCAGAAACCGCTTCTTTCGTGAGACACACCCAACCTGGCCTGAACATGCCTGCAGAAGTGAACATGACATTGGCATACATTGGCGACAGCACTGTTTTCAACATGCGCCAAATCAGCAAGCATCACAACTAATGATACCA